TTCCAAAATGCAAGTCATATATTATGTTCGTTCCATACTTCAAAAAATGCAAGCATGAAATGTAAAAAGTACATCAAATCCGAAAGACAAGAACATGTCATGGATCTATGGAACAACATTATGTATTCAAATACATAAATGGGGTTTGTCGAACACTTCAAGCACTTTGAGAATGTTTGTGTTGATATTCCTTTATTTGTTAAGTATGTGAATGAAACATGGTTTACACTTTATAAAGAAAGGTTTATTGCTACTTGGACTAACAAAGTCCCTCATTTAGGAAACACAACAACAAGCAGGTACATAGAATATGCCAGTTTGATGGTATTACTATTTATGGTTCAAATACAGTTTGAAACATGTATTTCTATTTATGGTTTTTAGGGTGGAGTCCATTCATTGGAGACAAAAAAACACGTTGGCTATAAGTCGAGGAGATTTATGCCGAAGTTAGGATGCTGTAAACACCATATTGAAGTTGCAGCTAGGTTCAACTAGAGTGTTGTTTCAAAACATTATTGTCAATATTAAGCATCGATATAACACTTCATTTTATGCCAAGTTGCACGATTTTGTCTTAAGACAATGTATACAGCTCATTGGGAAGGAACTAGAAAGGGTAAAATTTATTGGTTCAAGCCAAGAAAGATGTGGTTGTTTCATTAGAAATACACATGGGTTACCATGTGCGTGTCAGCTTGTCGGTTTCCAAATACTAGACAATCATATTCCTTTAGACTAAATTCATGTATTTTGGACGAAATTTCCCTCAATATCTCTGCTATATCTTAATTTATGTTTATTTTATTAATTAATCAAATAATTCATTATTCCATAAAATTTTATCATTTCTCTTGTTTTTCTAAGTTCTTATTTATTCAACTAAATCTCATATTTGACCAAATTATTCTATTGTCCTATTTTTACTAACTAATACAATAAAAATAATTAAAACATTATTTTTAATTACCAAAACAACTCTAAATTATTCTACTCACTTCTATCATATCCCTATACCCCTAACTCAAGGATACATACCCCACCAACACCCAACCATAAAATAAATCATCAAAATGCATAATTCAAACAATTAAAATATAAATATCTAATAAGAAAAACGGGGTGTTACATAAGGTACCAAAATTGAAAGAAGAGGTCATAATTCCAAGGCCATAGAATCGTGGTAAAAACCAACTACCCAATTCTCCAAGTGCTAAAGAAGGCAAACTCGGCGGGCAGAATGGTCTTGTGTTTTGTAGAGTTTTTCAGAATATGACATACACTTCCTCCTGAGAGGCAATATAAAATCGTAATTCCTAGAAGATTAGTTGGCCAAGTTCAGATCTCAAACAAGCGAAGACACTCCTTATGTGTGTATCCTATCTTTATACAAAGTATCTAATCTAAAAGAAAGTGGGTTTCGACTTATATATGGTTGCATGTGACATCCTAATCCCACAATCGTTAAGATCCAAGTTCAAAACTAATAATGATCAAGCGAAGTATGAATCCCTTACTGCAAGAATGACATTGGCCATAGAAATGGGTGTGTCCAACCTAAGAACCAAAAGTGATTCTCAATTTGTTACCATTTAAGTCGTTGGTGATTACCAGATGAAAGAAACGCAACATATAAGGCATTTGTAATAGGTTCAAGAGTTTGCAAAACACTTCAATTTATTCGAAGTAACCTACATTGAAAAAAATGTTGAGATCTGATTATTATTGGCCAAGCATGTTGAAAGATAGCAATTAAACATGTTAACAAATGCAACAAATGCCATCAATACTCAAACCTACATCATCTCCTCATAAAGGTCTTGTATTGTGTAACCTCGATATAACTGTGTTATCAATAAGGGCGTAGACAACCTAGGTCTTTTTCCCTTAGCACTAGAACAACTAAAGTTTTTACTTGTGGAAGTGAACTACTTCACTAAATGGATTGAAAGAGAAACAATGTTAAAGATCACAACTAGGGTTGGAAATGAGTTGAGTCGAGTCGAGCTCGCCTCAGCCCGACTCAACTCGTTAAGAATAGATTCGACTCAAATCTCAGATTGAGTTTAACATGAAATTTTTTTAAGCTCAAACTTGATTCGTTATAAGTTCACAAACAACTTAGTTGAACTTGTTAAGTTCATCTTATTAGGTTCAACATGATTCTTTTCTGGATTAAAAGCCATTTTTTTAAAGTCTAATTTTTTAATATACATTTGACATTTTAAATTAATATTTTTCTTAAAAATAAAAAATATATAAATAAAATAAAAGTTATAAGATTAGAAATTAACTTTTTCTCACAAATATATTAATTCAAAAACTACACAACTTTTAAAAAATACAATTGAAAGTTTAATTCAAAAACTACTCAAGTGAAAGTTTAAATACATTTAAACTTTAATTAAAAAATTCAAAACTTTAGGAACCTTATAAATTTAGAACATATTTTTTAATTAGAAAATATATGTTAATTTTTAAATTATTTAATTATAAATTAAAATTGTTAGATTAAAAGAAAATATAGGAGTAAGATTTAAATTAAATCTTTAAATATATTTTTAAAGACAATATAATTTATTTTATATATAATCAAATTGACTCATGAGTCTAACAGGTTGAATTATGTATAGTTCATATATAGTCCAAATTATTTTCTAGTTGGTTTGGTTATTATTTTGTTAGTGACCAGTAAGAAACTCGTGCTATCGCACGAGTCCCATTTGGATTCACATTACACGTCTATCAGAATATCATTTATAAAATATGAATTCATTCTTCAATTGTTTGACATTCACATAGTTACAAATATAAGCTAATCATACGAACCCACTTTTAAATATTGATTCTTAATTACAATAAACCGTACAGTCGGTTCTCTAACTTCAATTATATAAACAACAACAAAAAAATATTTAGAGATGAACATTAAAATGAACAGTCTACAACTGGTATCTCATAGATACGTTCACATCTACCCGTGGATCTATGTCTGTAAGATTTTCATTACGATAAACAATCTACGACTATTAAATTAAGAAATAAAATGAGCAATAAAAAGAACTTTTAGATTAATATACTTGACCAAGGAAGTATTAAGTCTTTAATGTTATACGTTCCTCACTCTCATTTGTCAAATTTGTATTCATTTATTTAGTTGGTTAACAATCATATAATTACAAACATAGTAAGTGTCTTGAACCCGTGTGTCTATTTATTAAAATAATTTTAATTTTTCCCGTTTATAAATAATTGTATCAATAGTTGAATTTTTTCTGTTTATAAAAATATTTATAACTTATTCTCGTTTATAAAAATTATTGTAACTTATTTCCGATTATAAAAATAATTATATTAACATGTAGACTTTTTCTCATTTATAAGTGTTTTGAACCCGCGTGACCATTTATAAAAATATTTTTAACTTATTCCTGTTAAAAAAAATTGTATCAATAGTTGAATTTTATCGTTTATAAAACTATATCGCCTATTAATGATAAATATTGAATTTATTATTTTAATATCTAGTTAATTTGTTGTCAAGTGCAATAAATATTCTAACTAATTAACAATATTATTAATCCAAAGATCAAGGGAAAGTATTGGGCATGTTAAAATTATGAAGTTAATGTTAAAAAAAATTAAAAGGAAGCCTTGAATCCAAAGGTACAAATGATTAGATTAACTCATTTTAGAGCTACACATACATTTAACTTTGGAATAATGTGCAGCTAAACAAAACTAAACTATCGATTATCACAAAAAAAAAGTAGGAAAAATAAAAAATAAAAAACATAAAAAACTCCATAACCAAACCTTATTCCAATTGTTATCACAAAAGTGAAACCAATGACATGAAAAGCAAGTTACATCTGAATCTTGAGAAAGATTTAACAAATTCTTCACCGTTACATACCCCTCTCTCAGTTTTGGACCATACTCTTGTAAAAAAGATAGCTTGGAGACCTCAAAGAACTTGCAGACCTATAATCCAAAGTCATATTTTAGTTCCGTAAATGACACATTTCATACACATTAATTAAGAATTGTATAACAAACTAACGCATCTATAAAAATCATACAATCATCAACTGCAAAGCTTCACTTGTTACCCATCGGGAATTCACAATCTCTAGGTTTCCTAAAAAGAGATCCAAATAATTCTGCATTGTAACTTTGACTATAACCCAACCGACTGTTGCCCCCTAGTGATAGACGAATTATTGATAGGACAACAACTGATGGGACACATCTATACAAAAATCCATATTTATAAGTATATTTCTTTAAGTCCTCTTTGAGAAATAAAACATAAAGAACTAAAACTACTAAATTCTGAAGGGTTTTACTTTGTAGTATAGCTTAGTGCTAAAAGTAAGTTACATTAATTATGCATCTAAATAATATTTGGAAAGACTAGTAATATTTAATGCAGTCTAAAAAGTTAAATCCTTTTGCCCATGCTTCACCTTTTTAAGAATCAACCGTCTCATGCTTTACCTAAATTCTTCAATGAAAGATTGGCCATACAACTGAGAATAAGTGATTTTAACAATTATCTTCATGATATATTGATACAACTCCATCACCAGGTTCTTCATCATCTTGAACCATTACCATTTGATCTACAATTCCTAAGCTATGAAGCCACTCTTTTACCTTTAGAAGAAAGTTATTAATAAAATATCAAATGAAAATTCCGTCTAATCAACAACCAAAAAAAAAAGAATTTCATAAACTTCAACATTATCTCAATGTAGTTTCAGGACAATTATAAACAACCAAATTAGATAATAAATTTTTTAAAAAATAAAGCAAGATGTCTAAGCTGCTACATAAAAATAACTTCCATGTTGTCAAATAGGTAGAACAAATATATATGGTCCAGTGGCAAGTTCAAAGAAGATAATACAACTGGCCATTGTTTCCAAGAGTTTCTGTCATCATAAGTGCTCAAGACAACAATATTGCTATTATCCAACCTTACAGATACCTTAAATATGCTAAGAATTTATCCAATTTATAACCATACCACGCGACATCACTGCAAATTTCAGAACTCAGAAGAGTTCTCCTTTGTTAATCGAGAAATGTCGAGGTTCGTTTCTTATTCCAATTTTGTTACTCCCTTTCACTCACACTCTTCGCTTAGGGTTTTCTCTCACTCTCCCCATCGTCTCATTCCCAATAATTTTAGTGTTGATGATGCTGTTTCCTCCTTCCACCGCATGCTAAATATGCGTTCTACTCCTTCCATTGTTGAATTTAACAATATTTTAGGTTTCCTCGTTAAGACTAACAATCATTACGCCACTGCCATTTCCCTTTTTCACCTATTGGAATTCAATCAAATCAAACCAAGTATTGTTACTTTAAACACTCTCATCAATTGTTATTGCCACACTGGTCGAATGGGGTTCGCTTTTTCTGTATTTGCTAAGATTCTCAAAATTGGTTATCAGCCTGATATCATTACTTTGACTACTCTTATCAAGGGTTTGTGTCTTAACCGTAAGGTTCTTGAAGCTCTGCACTTTCATGACCATGTGGTTGCACATGGATTTCGGCTGAATCAAATTAGTTATGGTATCTTAATCAAGGGGTTGTGTAAAATGGGGGAAACAGGAGCCACCATGAAAATGTTGAGACAAATTGATGGCAAGTTGGTCAATGTGAATGTGGTAATGTACAGCATCATAATTGATAGTTTGTGTAAAGATAAATTAGTAACGGATGCCTATGAGTTATATTCTGAAATGATTGCAAAGAAACTTTCTCCCGATGTTGTCACTTTCAGTTCTCTTATATATGGATTTTGTATTGTTGGTCAATTGAAAGAAGCATTTGGCTTGTTCCATGAAATGATATCAAAAAACATCAACCCAAATGCTTATACTTTTAATATATTGGTTGATGCTCTTTGTAAGGAAGGAAATGTGAAAGAAGCTAAGGAAATGTTAACCGTGATGATGAAAAAAGGTGTAACACCTGATGTTGTTACTTACAATTCATTAATGGATGGGTATTTCCTAGTTAAAGAAGTGAACAAGGCCATAAATATATTCTATACTCTGGCTCGAAGGGGAGTGGCTCCTAATGTTTGTTCTTATACTATAATGATCAATGCGTTATGTAAGAGTAAAATGGTGGATGAGGCCATTAATCTCTTTAAAGAAATGGGTAGCAACAATATTATTCCTGATTTTATGACTTACAATACCCTTATTGATGGTTTGTGCAAATCAGGGAGAATCTCCTATGCTTGGGAGCTTGTTCTTGAGATGCAAGATAATGGTCAACCACCCGATATATTCACTTACAATTCTGTAATAGACGCTCTATTCAAAAACCATCATGTTGACAAAGCTATTGCATTAGTCAAGAAAATCAAACACCAGGGCATTCAACCAAATATCTGCACATACAGGATACTTCTAGATGGACTATGCAAAGGAGGACAACTTACGAACGCAAAAGATGTTTTTAAGGATCTTTTGATTAAGGGTTATTGTCTAGATATCCGAATGTATAATGTTATGATCAATGGACTTTGTAGAGAGGGCTTGTTTGATGAAGTAGAGGCCTTGTTCTCCAAAATGGAATACAATGGTATCACTCCCGATGCTATAACTTACGAAACTATTATACGTGCTCTCTTTTATAAAAATGAGAATGAAAAGGCAGAGAAGCTTCTCCGTGAAATGATTACTAGAGGTCTACTTGAAGTGTAACTCTAGGTAAGATAACTTGTAATTATTAAGATTTAATTATTTACTTTGTTAATAGTTACATACACAAAAGACGGTGGACTGCTCAATCGTCTCACTGTCACTTTAATTTTAATCAAAAGTCATGTGTTGTTTGTTATGTTCTTTTCAATATTTTAATGGCGTCAATGGTTGATTCTTTTTTTTTGTAATGACATAGTTATCTTTTATCTTTGCAATGTACTTCAATCATCTTTATCTAATTTTAATGATATTTTCTTTCATTGCTCATTTTTCGTGAGTCAGATAACAAACAAGTTTGAGAAAGGATTTGAATGTTTATGTTCCTGTATATGGTTGTGATGTATATGATTTCTTGAGTTTCGAGATATAGCAATAATTCTATAGAAGTCCAGTATCTTGGCAAAATGGGTTGTTCACAAGTCTACATATAACTAGGGGGAAAACAAAGACATGATGGAAACTTTGAAATTTATATATACAGTGTGAATTATATAATAATGTAACCACCAAATTAATAAGTAACCACTGTAATTGTTGTTTGCATTAACTTCCCTTTGGCAAGGTCCATTTGTGGATCCAATTCATCAATTATATTTGTCTGCAAATCCAAAAGTTCTAGTTGGTTGTTGATGTCTGTCAATATCTAAAGTGCATTTGAGCAGATTATTTTCAGCACCCTATAACTTATGTTAGCTTGTATATTAATATAATGAATTTGAATCTATCTTTTACCTTAAGAACAAAAAGAACTTAAAATCTATTTGTACCTTTATGATAGATTCACTGATAAAAGTTCTTTGCAACATACTCAAATTTGGAAATTGTTTTCTGCACTTCTTTCAGGCTCCTTACAGTCTGCATGATCTAAATCATTATTTATTTTCTCGTGGTGGAGAAAAAAATTCACTTTCAATTCACTTCTCTCCTGATTTGGATGTGAGATCTTCATCTTCCAAATCATACCCAAAATCATCAGAATAGGAATCCAGTCAAAGTCTATTTTCTGGCACTATAGATTTCTTTGTACTCAATTGGACTGCTGGTAGGTGGCAAATCAAACAAACGACCAACTTCATTCAAGGCTGTTGGATTTGTATTTATGGCTTCTTTGAATTTTGCGTTATTTGTGCGATGCGAGAGCAGTTGTCAATGAAGATTCAGACACACAAGCTTATCAGAATTGAGAAATGATATACTCTTTGTTTTCTATTATTTATTTGTTTCTTCCATTAATTCTATCACTTTCTGTGAAATTATGAAATCTGTATGTTACTTTAGAATAGTTTCTATCCCTAAATATAAACAATGTGAAAAATATCTAGTTAAATTCAATTTCCTATACACTAAATATGCAGGGCCTGAAGCTAGCTTTAGACCGCATCAAGTGACGGATAATGCAGCTTTGTTAAATAGCAGTTATAATGGTGATAAAGTGTAGCAGTCGCTTCTGTTCAGTGATATTAGTTAGTACAAAGTGCTGTCAAATAGTGGCTATGTCGCTGCTATAGCATTGTAGCGTAGCAGAGTTTGAATAAACTGTTATATTCCTGGGCCGGTGAAATAGAAATACTGATAATGAAAAGAAATGGCCCGACTTACCTATGAATATGATGTCATATGGTTTGTTACTGGAACTTTAGTTGTTGAAGTTATAGTATTTGTTGTCCTGTGCAGTCAAGTTGAAGTTCCATATTGTTTTCAAGTCCTTTGGAATAACATGTGATGGTAGTGGATAGAAAAATGGAAGTTTATAAACCCCCAGTTGGGCTGGTTGGTGGCCCTTGGTTCCATTGTCATTGGCTTGCCTAAAGATCTTCTGGGGCTTGGATTCTATTAGGGCATTTATTCATATCCTGCTGTAATGTGTGACACTACTGCTTAATGGAGTCCTCACTTTCAATGGTTTGAGAGAACAGCATCTCGCAAGGTTTGGTGACATTCGCTTCCATCTTTTTCTACTCGACACTATGCTTCTTTTCTTACTTTAGTAATCCTTACAATTCCATTCATACTTTTCCACTTGCTACAACAGTTTGAAGCAGACATAATTAGCATAGTCCATAATTAGCTCAAATGCAGGAATGAGAATATATATGCAGACTCAGAATCAAGAATGCAAAATGGGTGGTGATAACACTGAAACAGTTTATTTAGGCCGTAAATGATTGGATAGAGAAGTCCTAAACTGGTAGGGTATTTGGAGTCATTCACTTTGTTTCGAATTTGGGGCAAAGGACATTAAATGCCTTTTTTTTTTATATTCTAAATGATAAGTAAGGAACCAAACTTAAGTGGTATTCTGCAAAGAACTTGAATTGCCGGTATATATAGAATTTCATATTTTAATGAGGTAGAGAAAACAAATCTAGTTGAATCAATTTTATGATTCTTTGACAAAGAATATCATAACATCAGTGTCACCTGTCTTTTCTATAAATGAAAACGAGCAGGTTAGGTTTGAAACATATATGTAATATGGTGGGAGAATTTATTTTTTGGGTTTTTATCCAAAATGTGTGGATAATTAGAGTTGCTATTGACTTTTCTTTTATCCAATATAATAAAAAACTGAAAAGAATAGGAAAGATCTTTGATAGATTTTGAGTTCAGGGGGTAAGTTATGAAAAAGAAAGGTGTTAGCACCCCTTTTATTCGTAGTTATTACGAGTTCTGAATTGTTTAACTCACTTTAAACTTGCTTTCTGTGTGCGTGATTTGAAAATATTTTGAATGCCAATTGTCAGACAGATTTTATAATAATTCTTTTATCAGTCCTCAAGAATGTATACAAAGTATTTTTTTTTGTTGAAAATATCAGTTTTGAAACGTGAGGTGTAAAAATGAATTTGTTTATTTGAAACTATTATGAGCAAGCAATTTGTTGAGTCTTACCCATTAAAGGTCATTCTTGTTATTTTCCTTCTCCGTTAGAGATAGTACTATCCACACCATTAATTGGTAGGTAGTCCTATCTATTGGATGTGAAGGGACATGCATAAGGTCGTCGTATGGTAATAGAAGGTAACATGTAAGGATACTTTACTAATTTGAAGGAACTATCATCATTTTTCTCATAGGGTCATCGAAGGAACTAGATCATTTTGTAGGCAACTCGAAGGGTCATCGAGGGGTTATGATCTTTATTCGAAAGGGATCATGATGATATTATTTAACCGAGGGTCTTTGCTAAAGTATTCCCGTTTTCATGGAACGTGACCATTAGTATCGCAAGGCAACAAAGAGAGATTACTCTATAGGTGAAGGTGCAAAGTGTATTGGTTTCAGTTATGTTATCTTGAAAATTAAGGTTATCTATGTTTGATTTTATTCTTATCATACAAGCCTATTTACTAGCAGTTATATATATACAAAAATATAAAGGCAAAAGATAAAGCGAGATGTAAATCTACGCTATTACATGGCTTTGAGAGAGTTACATAATTAAAAAAAAGCGGGGATGTAAATTTAAACTATTACATTAAACTGTGTGACCTATACAATTGTCTAAGAAAATAAATAGCAAAAAAAATAAGAAAATGTTGAAAAAAAGAGTTTAAATGCCCTAAAAATCTAAGTTCATATTTTTGGTGTTTTTATGAAAATAATTTAAGTGTTAATTAATAAAAATTAAAATCCTAATTCTAATTGATTTTGATTAATAAAAAGCCTAAAATCTAATTGTCCAAAAAAAATTAATTTACACCCTGAAACTAATTTTTTGTTGATTTTATTATATGGCTTCTTTCTAATTTTTTATGTATAAGTTTTGATTAAAAAAAATTTAATTAATAATAAAATAACTACTAAAAAAAGGAAAATAAAGAAAGTAAAGAAAAAAGGGTTTTAGCATCGCTGGGATTCAAACCCCCTCCCTTCTCTTCACACGCTTGATTCCAACTTGTTCTATGTTTCTTGTTTAACACATCTGGACATATGAAACTTATTAATAACACAAGGATTAAGAAATTTGAAATTAGAAAATCCTTACCACCGGTGTGATTGAGGGGAGGCGTTCTGGGCACGGTTGAGCGTGGTTATGGACTTGAGGAGGTTCCTGGGGATGTCAGGATGATGGTTCGAAGCTTCATTTCAGTTGAGAATGATTGAAAAAGTGGAATACGATTTGCACTTATTCTTTGAAAATTTTGTGTTTGAGAACTTGTTTCTATGGCAGCCAATCCATGTCCTTGTCTTATGGAATGTGTTATCTATATATAATGGATGATTTTTTAAGTTAACATTCTTGGAAGGAAACATGTGCAATCAAAGTCATTATTTGTTTCCAAAACAATTGCAAAACTTTTTAAAACAAGAAGATCTATTTCCTTCTTCGTTCCTCACGGTTTTTTTATGTTGAATATGTGATCTTGGGCTTCAAAATGATCCAAAACAAAAGGCCACATGCCTTGTACATTTATTTAATATTTATTTAACTTAATTTTAAACTTAAATGAATAAAATCAAAATAAATGAAATAAGAAATTAAAATAATTCTGAATGGACTTAGGGGTCCCTAAACATGTCATAAACACGTTTGAACTTCAAAAGTTAGGCCCATTAGCTTAAAAGTCCAAAATTGCTCAATTGTTGTTTCATGCATTTTCTCAAAATTGCTCAACTTGCACCAATCATAACTCTCTCAAATTTTGTCATATGAAGGTGATCATGGACTTCTTGGAAAATTCAAGATGTCCTCTACAATTCTCATGTTGGTCACTTATTCATTTGAAGTCTTTAACTTGATGTAAATTGCTTTGAGAAAAGATGTCTTTTTGTTGACTTTTAAAATGACTTGTAATGTTTTGGCCTATATCTCTCAAATGAAGCATTTTTTGGCCTTGAGCTTAGAGAGACAGAGTTGTAGAGAATTGAATTTCCTTCAAGATAGGATTTGGTTGAGGAATTTTTGATGAAGCATGTGAAAGTTATGCTTGATCAAAGTTCAGTTGACTTCTTCTTAAGAAAACCGTAACTTGGTAACTTTTGTCTTTTGATGAATC